GTATAAAATTATAAATTTACAAACATAACCGTCAAACCGCTTCCGTGACATTGTGGGTCGTGATGAAGTGAGTAAAATGACGAGGTACTTGGTTGTATCGATTTACTACATGACGTAACACTAATCGATTATTCATACCAATCCACCACTCCCCTCTAATCTACAGGTAAACACCCCCTGCCGTGGTGTCTGTTATTGATATTGATTTTATATAGCTCATAAATGCAACTACGGTTACAGCGAAATTGGTTCTATGAGGAAAAGAAGTTCTTTTAGCCAAAACCACGCTACACATATTTTGTATACACTGAATATTTAAATACATGTATCGTCCTATTGTATAATCAGGAGTTGTTTCGATGTGGGATTCAGGTTGAGTAGTGATTGTAGAGAGCGCTGCTTTACTAAATGTTTATATTTTTAAATTTAAATTTGTTTTACGAAATGTGATTTATTGGTTTTTGTGTATACAAAACTAACCATATTGTTGCCAAAATAAAAATATCTATATATTTAATACGCGACATGAAACTTTGTGAACAATAAGGCTTTTTTGTTTCAAGATTTAACCCCACATATTATATACCAAAATGTTCGTCTAGGTGTGTAGATGTGCAAACTGGATTTAGTTTTTTGAAATATATCTTTTTAAGGGCGTGGGCTGCCCTCAAAGTTCCTTCCATAAGGATAACATTGTGATTGATTTGAATGTTATTATATTCTGAAACAGATGTAAATACATTAGTTAAAAAAATAAATTCCAGCTGTTTTGTTTGGTTTTGAAATGTAAACAGTAATTAGAAACCCAGCAAGGAAATGTTACCTATAGGACACGACGGGAGAAAAGTTTTACATTTAAGGACCCGACGACAAAGAAATACGAGTTTTGCCGGTCGGACACGGCGAGTCAATATACGGCAAGCAATGCAAAACGTAAGGAGCCCAGACGAGGAGCTGGAACAGTTAGTGGCAACATGTACTTACAAAATTACACTGACAAATACAAGATCTCAGCAGCATTCACTTGGCGAGATGGCATTAAAATGGGGTATGCTACATTTTAAAGAAGAACAAAGAGGACGAGGCGAAGGATTTTCATCCTGCTGCCATAAAGAAAAAGTGAATCTACCACCATACCGAGAGAGCTATTATATCCAGAGCCTACTAAATGGAGTAAATCATTTGAGCAGAAACTACAAAGAGAACATTAGATCGTACAACTCTGCGCTCGCAATGGTCAGCACTCGAGCTAATATTGAAGAACATAACGTTGGGGCCTTCATGTTTAAGGTGCACGACACAATGTATCACTCAATTGGCACCTTACAACCGTCAGAAGGGGAGCATCCCACATACGCCCAAATTTATATCTACGACGTCGAAACCGCTGTTCGAGCAAGAAAGAATGCTAAACAAAGCTAATGGCTCTTGCAGCACTGAACTCATGCACATTTTGACTCAACATTTGGTTGATATTAATCCACACACGCAAGTATTCAGCATGATGAGCTCCGTTCATCAAAATACTCCTACTGAACAGCAAAAAGAACTTAGAATGAATATAGCCAACGATCGAGCTCAAGACCAACGTCGATACAATGACGCAACTTCTAACGACGTTGCTACAATATCCAAATATATTATTCGTGCGAATTCGCACGGGTTCACCTAGTAGGCTGTTAGTTTAGGATAATATGATATGATCTAAACTGTTTCATAATTTACATTAGCATGAATCTTTATCTAGTCATTGCAACAATGTAATGAATACTACAGTGATCAGTAATCAACAGGATCTCAACCTATTGGTGGTCCAAAGTATGTTTATTAATTTAATTACATTCTCATTCTAAAACTTGAGTAAGTGTGTTGATAAAAACACAGCTTAAAAAATATATAAACCCATACATATATGGGTCACAAAATACATAAACCCATTATATATGAAAATGTTGAAAACGTAATCTGGATCATGGAAATACGCATTAAAGACAAAAGTTGGATTTAACGATGCTTGAAAATAAAAATGTATACCTCACATTTATTGAGGCAATATTTGACCACTCAGCAAATTGTAAGCTTTCAGTAGATATATTGAACAAGTTTACTTTTTGTCTTGTCAGAAAGCCACTAAACCAACATCTTTCTTTTCTTTGAACCGCAGCTACTCAAAAGTAGTAAAGGGAACAAAGCTTTCAATAACAGTTTGTATTTCTTTGAGTCTTGGTATAAAAGAGTCGACGTCTTTATTGATTAAATAGACGCTTTTGTAAACATCAATCAATCCTAATTATTTAATTGTTAGATTTGAGCTTTAACCTATTCTATCAAGATAATTATACAACTATATACCAGGACTAACTTGAAAATATTCCTTATCGGTGATTGAAGTCAGTAATAATTTTTTTATAAAGGCAATTATTTCTTCAAACAAAATTTTTATATTATAATACAAATAAATGCAACTGAGCATGTTTGGATCCAGTTGCAATGGTGAGCTATTGACTTTTCTCAGGATTGAACCTGCAACCCCTTATCTCTGGTTACCGTTGAGGACCACTCAGTTATCCAAGTACTTTTGAATTCATTTTAAGTTACTTTTGGGTCTTCTAAACCTACGCTTAACCTTCATTTTAATTAAAACCTTATTTAGGTAATTACACTTCTGTAAGCAGTGCAGATTGGTATTTGAATTTATTTCAAGCTGTTATTGATCTTTGTACATAATCGCAAAAATGTACGTCCCTACGAAAAAGCATGTGTTCAAGTATATTTTCAACATACTGATAGTTGTATATTAGATCAAAATATAAAATGGCAGTGTTTCTGAGGAGTAAAAGAGAGACAAATGAATCGATGCTTCAAGCTGCCCTCAGAGGCTTGCAGTCACATGGGACTAAAATTCACTAAGAGTTTTTACACGAGTACAAATTCTGTTTCACTTGCTTTGTACGAATTGTGTTGGCTTTCTGTTAATTGAAAACTCTTTGGAGAATTATTTTTATGGATTGGAAATGTGTTTCCATACAATCAAATGAGTTTAGTATATTGTTGGCAAAAATCCTGTTCGAATAAGAGGCAAAAGCCTCCTGAGTAAGTTATATTCTACTATTTGTATTCTTATGTGCACAGTTAGCCAAATGATTATCTTTTATTTTATCATTACCTATAGATAGGCAGGATTAAAGAGAAAAGAGTCGTTGTTGAGATAAACCCTATGAAAATAAATGAAAAAATCTTACTCTTCAAAGGAAGTGTAAAAGTCTAACCCATACATCCAGGTGTTTGCAGTATATTGTTCAACATACAACAGACGGTGTCACACTGATGTTTTAAGTCTGCATTCACATTATAAACTTTACATTCCGGGCTCGAAAACGCTTTTAGCGTCGCCGAGTTTTTATCCCCATTTGGTCACTTAGCGCTTCGCTCCTCTGGAATTCCAATGAGTCTTTTATTTTAGAGCAGAACCCATTTTCCAACACTTAAAAATAAAAATACTAGTTAAATCATTAAAAATTAGAATTTTGAACGTTTTAACTTAAGTTATTTATTTGTTACATTAGGGTTAAACAATCACGGAATGAATTTTAATTATCTAATAAATAATTTGTTATTAATAATTAACTGAAACAATTATTTAAATAGGCTACATTGTACTTCACTTTTTATACTTTTTAAACTTGCCGGTCTTAATGGGGCCTATTTCATTTTTGTTATAATATTGTTCTTCGTCAAATTTATATATTAACAAATCTTACTTTAAAACATGTCAAAAAGTATTGAAAACTAATTTGAAATAAAAATTTTATTACTTCTCTTGGACTTTTACAGGAACGATTTAATTGTAATACCAAAACAGGAGTGCTAATTTCAAACTGTTGAAAAAATACCACCCATCTTAAAAATGTAATCTTGCTGGACTAAGACTTAGAGGAAAACCTCGGTCTCACATATGACAGATAGAAGAAGATTACAAGAGGATGTCATCTACACCTATCTTACAGCTCAATACAGATGACACAAGAACATTTTTAAAAGTTGAGTCTGGATACATCGCTCTGTCTGCGAGAGGTACAGCTGCTCTCGTAACTTTTCACAAACTTGTTACTGAGATTTGTTACCACGAAACTCTCGGAGTTTGCTGGCCACTGAGAGAAAACGTAGTTATTTTGTTTCGTATACTATAATGTCATTCTAAGCAGATGGATTCATTTTTTATTAAAATTATATGTAACTGGATACGTTTTCAATCGCCAAAACAAGTTCAAATGGTGTCCATGAGTGATTGAAACTTGTTTACATTTTCCTAAATTTGTATTTGATCTGTGAGAGTACTTATACGAATTCGGTTATTAGCTGTTTGGTGGTTTTTTATTTGATAAAAATGTAAAATTTTTATTTGTATAAGTTTTTTAACAAATGGTTTACTTTTGATGACTCACAATTATGGTTTGAATACCGATTTTAAAGACCAATTTACAGTAGAGTAATTTAAAATGTTAATACTTGGCATGTGTAGAACAGGAGCTGATTTATCGGTAAGTAAGTAACATCAAAATATCCGTTGACAAAAAAATACATGATTGGCACACTGCTACTAACCTCAAGCCATCGTACATAGCTAGTTGGCAATATTGTATTCAGTTCGTCGACAGATTGGTGAATAGCTCATAATGGATTTACTCAAACAAAAATATTAAGTTTCTTCTATTAAAAAAAAAAAAACATTTTCATGCAAATCACACGTAGTCTCTTTCAAAAATATACTTTCTGAATCTTTCCAGAACACTAAAACCTTTTCCGATTGTCTGGTGTTGTTCCTGATCAGACACTGTGCAAAACCCACTTTCGGGACCTTTTCTAAAACACTACAATTTTCCATTCTTTTCAACTCCCTGGTGTTATTCCTGATCACATACCGTGCAAAAGCCATTTTCTGCAGCGTTTCTAAAACACTATAACTCTCCAGTTTTTCCAATTGTCTGGTTTTGTTTCAGATCACATGCAGTCGCTCTGCAAGAACCACTTTCTGCAGCAGCTGTACAGGAAGATTGACGGCGCTGTGCTGCGCTCACAGAACGAGAAGTCGCTGGACTGCGTCATCACCTTCCAGACTCACTCGATACTGCAGCGGTTCATGCTGAGGTTTGACATGCTTCATCTGGACTGCAACGACCATCTGTTCATCTACGACGGTGCTCATGCCGTAGGAGCGTTCAAGGTAGAGTTATCTTGAAAATATTAATGCGATACCAAAACATTAGGTTTTATATTTTAAGTCGAAAATTCCTGAAGTATCAGTTAATAAATTATGAAAGCTTCAATATAGACTAATATCAGCTGGCTCTTTAGTCAAGATCACGTATTTTTAAAGAGGGTTTCCTCACGTTCAACAGAGATTTACGGCTATCAGCACAGATCTTTGATACTCGGAAAAGAATCATAAAGCTCATTAATAACCTATAAATTCCTCCTGTTATACATAGTATATAGAGAATGTCTAATCCATGATATCTACAGGCGTTTTTTTTTTTTTTCATAATACCCCTTAGAATAAAGAAAATATATTTTTTACAGTAACGGCTTGAACGATTTTGTTTGAAATTTAGTATGTCCTTGTCCTTTACACTGTAAACAATATTGTACATCCCCATGCTGTAAAAATTACGGTTCAAAGGCTATTGATTTTTCTCTATAAAATATCATATTGACCCCAAATACTTGTTTATTATAAGGGGTTTTGACTACCTAATGGGATAAGGTATGTGTCAGTTTGCTAATACTGTCTATTAACTCTTGTGTTTAGAGATACATATGCAAGTCTCACAGTAACATAAATTTTATACATTGCTTTGAAGACAAAAAATATTCTTTAACCGGCAGTGACAAAGTCCAAATTGTGCTGAATCAGCGAGTTTCTGCTGTAATACATAGATTCTCTGTAGAGTGCTCGTAAAACAATGTTAGGTAATTTTGAAATTAATGGTAACAATTTCTTCATATTTTTTCCTCAACATTTTTAGTTTAAGAGGAAGACCACGGTGGTATTCTTCAAAATATTAAGGTTTCTGAAAAAGAAAATAAGTTGAACCATAAAATATATTATATTTTAGTAATATGGATTAGTAGTGCACGTAAAATATGGAAACACAAACTTCTCCAACGAGTTATTCAACTTAAACTGTATTCGATTTTAAACCAAAATTTTGCTAACAAGTAATTTGCATTCTTTCTGATAGTATAAATTAGTAAATATTTTACATAATTGTTGCAAAAACGGTGAAAAGCGTGCATAACATACATCTAGCTGGCTATAGACTTATGTTTTGCAGAAGATTTGATTTGAATTATCGGCCAATCTTCCCAATGCTTTAATCTGTCACAGTTTGGCAAGTATTTGATTAGTTTATGACTGATATTTTGCTGCAGGCCGACCTGAACTGCCGTAACACTAAGCAGGCGGTTGGAGCGATCTTCACAAGAACCAACTTCGTCACTCTCAAGTACGTTACTGATGGCTGGGGAACGGAGAGTAACGGATTTACTTTAGTCATCACTGCCGTCAAGGATCCAAGTAGGTGTCTCAGTATTATGATAACAGATAAAGGACCTTTTAACTTAATACTCGTATATTTCATTATATTTCATGCGATTGACGTTGTGCATCTGTATTATTGAATATATATTATGTAGTAGCAACGCAATTTCAGTTCAAAAACGTCCAGTAGTGACGCCAACCTCTTCCGCCACAGTATCCTGTCCTTGTCCTTTAACTCCAAAATGAAGGCCCTACTCAGAAGAAACTACATCATGGAAACTGATTGACCTTCAATCGTGGGAAGATGTAGCCGCTAACACTCTGGTTTCATTATCATTTTGCATGTAATAATCACTGTCACTGTGGTTAATCTAATGTTCACATTAATCATGTAATAAACGTTAATAACTTCTATCTTACTCTATTACCGAAGTCAAATATATTACCCTCCATTCTGCATCGACAGTTTGAATAGAGAAATTATTATCAACACTAATTTTACATCCTGGTATCATTACATTAAGGCTGCTAACTTTCTTTACCTGAATGGGAGTAAACGATGGATTATGTTGTAAGACGCCTTGTAGACAATTTTTACAGACTAATAACAACCATTTCTTTAGCTAGGACCATTTATTTGAAGTCAAAATGTCAACAACAGTTGGGTCCAGGTTCAAACCCTCAATTCTTTCTCAGGACCGGACAAGCGACCCGCTGATTACTAGGCGAGGATTTTATAAACTCTTAGCTGCCCATTTGTTTCATAGCGCATTATAATGTATGTATATCGATCTTCACTTTCTTTTTTTCAGAACACTCTTGTCAAGAGTTCAAATGCACGCAGCGTGAGTTTTGCATCGCCACTGACCTGATCTGCGATGGTATCAACCACTGTGCAGACGGTTCAGATGAAGCTATTAGTAATACTTGCTCTAGTAAGTAATCACATCATAATTACAATTAATTCATCAGTTAAAATTAAAATGTACGGATGGTAAAATTATGGGGTTTAATGTCATCCACTTGATCCTAGAAAGTCCACTGATTTTTTTTATAAACGCCAAACAAATATAAAGACAACTTATGCATTGTAGCACTTATTTATGGTTGTGTTTAAAAAATAATAATTTCAGTGAAATTATAGAAATATATATAGTCTGCAAAACCGTTTTACATGAAATGTTGTTGAATTTAGTGATGCTGTAGTACAAGCATTAAATATTTTATGCCGTCCATCTTTTGGTGAACACGAATTGTAAAATTTTGACCTACTTTTGCTAATTCCAGAAATTGATGGATGTTTGATTCCGGTAACTAATTCAGCGTTATAAGGTTAGGCTAAGAGACTTACTAGCTAAGCTAATATGGCTTGTACACCCTTCAACCCCTCAACTATTGACTATTGGATACTGAAGTTGTATGACTATAGTTCGGCCGCTTAGAAAGCGACCTCCTCCAGCATTGGTTTAGCATTAGCGCGCAGGTCGTTTTCTAAGCGGCCGAACTATAGTCAAAGACTCAACCCACTCAGCCTGGCTAAAAGATTATTTCAGCCCGTACTGTAGGATGAATATAACTTTTCTGGTATATTTTTAACATGAGTTCTTGTTTTCCAAGTTGTTCCTATTCCTATCTATTTTCTTCTCTTCACTTATTCTTGCATCTCTGTTTCCACAGAAGCCACTGGCACTACTGTGCTGGGCATGAGCATGACGGTGTTTGTGGTGACAGCGACGAGTTGTCTGCTGGTGCTGTGCGCCTGCGTGGTTGCTCTGTCAGTCTGCATCTGCCGCCGTCAAAACGCTCACCCCCACCCCCACAACGCCAACACACAAAACTACAACGCCAGTTTACCTTGTAAGTACAACCACGGAGCTGTATCGTAGTAAGAGCATAGACGTGAAATACATAGGTAAACTACCTGTAGCCATCAAAACGCTCACCCCCACCCCCACAACGCCAACACACAAAACTACAACGCCAGTTTACCTTGTAAGTACAACCACGGAGCTGTATTGTAGTAAGAGCATAGACGTGAAATACATAGGTAAACTACCTGTAGCCATCAAAACGCTCACCCCCACCCCCACAACGCCAACACACAAAACTACAACGCCAGTTTACCTTGTAAGTACAACCACGGAGCTGTATCGTAGTAAGAGCATAGACGTGAAATACATAGGTAAACTACCTGTAGCCATCAAAACGCTCACCCCCACCCCCACAACGCCAACACACAAAACTACAACGCCAGTTTACCTTGTAAGTACAACCACGGAGCTGTATCGTAGTAAGAGCATAGACGTGAAATACATAGGTAAACTACCTGTAGCCATCAAAACGCTCACCCCCACCCCCACAACGCCAACACACAAAACTACAACGCCAGTTTACCTTGTAAGTACAACCACGGAGCTGTATCGTAGTAAGAGCATAGACGTGAAATACATAGGTAAACTACCTGTTGCCATCAAAATGATCAAACCCGCCCTTACAACTCCAATATACGAAAATACAATGCCAGATTACAATGACGAATCTTTATTGTCGTAAAAAGTTGAAAGACATAAAGTAAACAAAATATTTTTTCATAAAGTAAATATTTTGGGCACGGTTTGAGCATAAAACGAAAAATAAACAGGGTGTGGATTATCATCGAAACATGAACCTGTGAGTGTGGTTATAGGTTTTTTTTTTCAGTCGTATGACTACAAAAACCACAATGGTGCATAAAATACAAAGAACGTATATTGTTGCCTCATAAAAACTTGGTTTGGTTCCTTTCATCTAGTTTGCTTCCTAGTTATAAATGTATGAGACGATTGATAAGTAATCATTAATCATTAATCAGTAACTTCGTACTTTTACTAATTGCAGTTAGTGAAGCATTGAAAGCGTTGGTTGAGGATTGCCTTTTCCTCAATCAATTAATTACCTCATCAATTAATCAATTATCCTGTTGCATAAATAATTATTGAGTTTGAAGTCATGACTGGACATTCCCCTATAAGCCAGTAAATTATAATAAACATAGTAAACTTGACACGTCTATGAAAGAAAAACAAATGTATAAATGGTATTTCAAAAGAATGTAGCTTCTTTATTGATAAGGCGAAGACATCATTGTATTTTCTAACCAAACTTTATTCTTCCTACAACATTTTTTCCTTTATTTTACTGTAACATCCATTTGAAATTACTTCAAATAGTTTACCAACTTTGACATATAAATTAGATATTAATAACATTTAATCTTTTTCAGTACAACAAACGCAAGGGTCAAATGGGACCGGCGCGACGACGATAGTAAGTAAGATACCGGGAAACTGGCGACACCCTGCGGGCCACAAGCTCGGGTACAGCGTGGTACGGGCCCGCCTCTACTGCCAGGCAAAGTGAGGAGTTCCGGCTCCGACAGGTGAGAATGTTAACATAAACAATCTACGGTAGACTACGAATAAGTATATGACTTGTGGACATTTTCGAAGCACATAATGAGCAATCGACCCACGTATGGTAAATACTCAATGATAAACATTTAAAGATATATCTAAAAATAAACATTAATATTTTTGATGAAGAGAAAGATAGTAATTATGTTAACCAGTTTTGGTAGAATTTGTTGAATGTGTTTGTTGAACGATAACGTAAAATTATTAATTATTTGTATGGCTTTATACGTTATCTTCTTCGCACTATAATACTTCCGAGCCGCAATATATTTAATTCTACATTATAATATCAAAATGTTAGGTTTAGAGTTGTTCTAATAAGATTTTTTTAAATTTCAGTGATATCTCCTCCAGCCAAAAAGACGAATGGTTCGTGTAGGTAAGTGTCAATCCTGTTTATAAAATAGAAAATGGTGAACTATTTGTCAATATGTTTAGAGAACAGCTAACTTTTTAAAAACTCCTTTTCCGTCTAGGCCATGTTTTACATTCTCAATTTGTAAGACACTATGAACAAACTCATTAGTAACACACTCACTGTTTTGTTTGTGATGAAATAAATTACCAAGGCGGCTGAGGGAGTTTGCTCTCAGAGATCACGTAGAGAGAACTGGACTCAGCTGCAATATAGGAGGCAAACAACCAAGCAGAGAGATAAAACAAATATCCCAAGCACCTGGCTCGCCCCTTCACAAATATGGATTCCTCTCTAAGATAACTTTATACAAATACACATAAAAACACGGAACAATTATTTGACTTCAATTCGTGCTTCCTATTATTTTATTAAATATATCATTCGCAAATTATTATTTGAGGCAAGAAACATTTATTAATTTAGTACTCGAAAGAAAGATTTCCACGAAAGTGAGAAAAGTTAAGCAATGTAAGATAGGTTCAGCAATGCTTGGTTAATTTTCATATTTACACTATTTAGGATGCCTTACCCCAACTCCAAGTGTTAAGTATCACAATATAACATGCGAATTCCGCAATTTTGTGCAATGAATTCTCAAAGAAATGAGTGTAAGATTCTCGAAGTATATACTAGGTCACTGTACCATGATACTGACTCTATGTTGTTGTGTGTAGAGTGTAAACAACACAACCCCCCCCCCCCACCCATGACCCGGTACCGTGCCTGCAGGGAGACAACAGCGTGGATGTACCCCGCCTCGCCCACGCCACGCCACTACCCCAGTGATAGTGACAGACTGTTTGATGCCTCAATGTACTATGATGATACTGACTCCATGTTGTTGTGTGTACAGAGGCTGACCCGGTACCGTGCCTGCAGGGTGACAACAGCGTGGATGTACCCCGCCTCGCCCACGCCACGCCACTACTCCAGTGATAGTGACAGACTGTTTGATGCCTTATTGTACTATGATGATACTGACTCCATGTTGTTGTGTGTACAGAGGCTGACCCGGTACCGTGCCTGCAGGGTGACAACAGCGTGGATGTACCCCGCCTCGCCCACGCCACGCCACTACCCCAGTGATAGTGACAGACTTTATACACAGACTCAGACTGGTGCCAGTGGCGTGACTAGGATTAGTGTCTTGTGGGAATAGCCGCCCATGTGTAGACCTAGTCAATTACGTGCGACTTTCTCACTCCTACTTACGACAATAGTTCTTATACAGGATTTTTTCTAAGGACTCTTATCATAAAGTAGGTCTACTTGTGCAAATCGTTCTAATGTATACTCCAAGTTTTTTTCTAACCTATGATATTTATCTAAGCTTTCTTTGTGGGCAGTGTGATTCGTGTTTACCGTGCAATTGTTCAACGTGTATATATACATCTTTGAAATGTTTAGCTAGATATAATTCAAATGTGTAATAATTTTAATTTTTGACAATGAATGCGCACATTGAGGATGAGGGGGAGTTCGTTGACCGATTCTACACAGTTAACCTTTATCTTGTAAATAAAGAGTTTAATTCTATAAATTAATTATTATAAATGTTATGAAATTAGGTCTGAATATTAAGATTACGCTATTAGTTGTTGCTAGTCGCACTGGCCACAAAGCAAGTGACCCTACATATCCCCGTTTGTCACCCACCCTCCTACATATCCCTGGACCAGTTTACCTTCACATATCCCATTCATTGTTATATACACATTTCGACGTCCTATATTTTGTAAGCTATGTATAAAAATTTAGACGTGTCATCCGTGGTGTCCGAGGTCACCACAGACGTACAATGTGAGCTACCACTCGACAAGCTAACTCTTTTTTATCGGTTATCCTTTTGTTATACAGAGTTGTTCTAGGAGAATGTGTCGTTCGTTGTTCTTTTGCTTTCCGGCCTGTGTGGTGTAGTCAGTATTGTACATTATTTGGCGTGTAAAAGTATTAAATAAATGAATATTAAGGTTGTACAAAAGATGTTGATTTGTATTTATTGTGTTTTCCTTAATGTCCTACCTTATTTTGACATGTAAGTTATAGCGTACTTCCACTAAAATGTGCAACACTTTAATAGCATATGCGTGTACATACGTGTCAAGCCATAACATATTCATAGTTAATTACTTTTGAGTCTTTTAATTTTTTCACACATTTAAGATTAGAAAGTCTCTTAAACTAAGGGCCAATTGAATATTGGCCGGTAAAGAAAGTAGCTAGTAGAATGGACAGCTGCTTAGGGCGGTTTGATGGATTTTTTACGTTTAAATACTGTGTATGTCAAGTAATTGTGATTGAGGGTATTTCAAAATTGTACTAGGAATAGGATTTAGGTATGTATTCAATACTCAGGAACATCAATACGGTCTTAGGTCGAATGTTGATTTAATGTTGTAAGACATTTAATTTTGTTATATTTGATTAGGCCTAAGTTGTAAAGTTACTTTAAATTAAAAACTATATAATTTAATACTCATCACTAACGAAAAGACAACAAATTTTTCAAATAAACCTACACACTAAAATTAAAAAAATAAAACCATCTTCGAGACAAAATCAGGATTATTTACAGCAGTTTTTAGTACATGCGTTTTGGGTCTAAAGTAGCTCCCTTATAGTTCATAGGGAGTAAAAAGTATTTTTAGACCCTAGGGAATAAAAGTCAACTGTTGTAAACACATTGGTAAACTTCGATTGTAAGCAATAGCATGTACTGAAATTATGTATCGCTCGTTTTAATCGGTTGTAGCTTATTGATGCATTCTAAGTCAATGGTTCTAGTTAACAGTTCGACATGTATAATGTACACTAACACAACTTACGTACACTTACAGCTGCTTGTTTGCATAAGTTAAATTGAAAACAAGCTAGAATAGAAGTCATGTTGAGAGGTTGTCTTTACTTGAAAAGTATTGTCGTTTTCTAACTTAGATATTTCTTAAATAATGGTGCAATATGACGAAAAATATAGTTTATCACACGGGCAAAATGTGTATTTTCAAACCTCGCTTATATTTTGACCTCGGCTTCGCCTCGGTCGTAAAACTTGAACTGGGGTCGAAACGAGTGTGACAGTTACGCCCTAGTGATGAAATATACTATTAGACCTTTTTCGTTGAACACTAGTTATTTACAAAACCATCCTTAAGGCTAAAAACAAAATTCCAATTTATTATCCTAAGGCCCTACTTATCAATAGTCAAGAAAATAACAACAGCGTGAATCATTTCTACGCGAATAATACATTTATATTTTAATCATAGTAACTCATAAAGTAAGATCTATAAATGTACATAATAAATAACCAGAATATCTGATCGCAAATATAAGAAGTGTGTGAAAGACTCACCACTACCAGAAGATCTTGAAGATGAGGCACTTTATCAAACTTGTTGCAGGCTAAATCAATTTAGACCCAAGACGGTCCTTTGAGAGCTCACTGAATACACTCAAAATGAGCCCGTTTTATAAGATAATACAAATAACTCTCCAAATAAGTTCTGTTAAATTTAATTTATCATTACTTATAAACCTATTTTCTTACACATACTTGCTCCTGTACCCAAGAATTAGAATCGTTTAGTCAAAACTTACTTAACTTCTCAATGAAAATGTCTAAGTTCTAAAATTGTCATTAATCGAACGTAGTTTTTCATCTATTACGGTTACCACTTAACTCAAAGCCTATTAAATGTTTATCGCGTTTAAATACATATTAAATCAAATAATAATGGGAACACTCATGTGAGGCAAAAAACAGAGTCGTTGTAAAAACAAAATATTATTCTAACAAACTGTTTTGTTTTTATAGTTTTGACCAAGAATACACTGGAAGAACAAAACATGCAAATATATAACTGATTAAAGCATCTTGCTCGTAATTTTTGCTGTTTTATATACCTTTAACTGTTGTTACTAGTTTAATAGAAGAGTAGAAGTGAATTATATTGTGTCCTTACTAAATGTCAGTAGAATCATAAAGATCATGTCAAAATTATGTACTAAAAATGAACAAAGTCTAAGTACAACAATATTGTACAGTACTACTCCACGAGACAGCGAGCCTTGCCTCTGACATAATACGGTTGCCATCCGCAGAAGACTAAGGGGTAGAATTGATTTACTCCCGTAATAACTGTGGCCAATGCAATTACAACCCTTCCATCCATGAACTCCTTCAAACACGTTCTTCGTTGTTCCATCAGGTAAGAGTAATGAGAATTAAATAAATTATTTTTTGAATAAACATCTCGTATATAAGTATATATTAATAACTTTACGCTCAGTTAGGTGGCTTAATATTTTTCCGTCTGAATTTATTTTCAAACACCTTATATCAATTAGTTTGACTAATAGGTTCGTTTTGGTCCTGCAGTTGGAGGAAGGGGATACATTGAAAAACTTGTAAATTACTTATAGTGTAGAAAATTAAATGTAATCAAAATTAGAAAATCAAAAATATAGGACTGTGGTGTTTACTATCACAATCCTAGAAAATTCTGTCAAGCAATTCGCACCTTTGTACAGAGTCAAAATTACTAAACAGGTAACACATTTGTGAAATTTAAAAAAAATTATAAAAGTGTTTCAATTTCAGTTTTCTTTTTTGGATTCAAGAACCAACACAAACTATTTAACAAGTGCTTTAATATTTTCTGATTAACAAAATATTTGGACGTGTTGAAAACTAACACGTATTAGAAATTATGTGTGTCTTATTAAAAAATAGTTCGAAGCATGAAAAGGTCCTACAGTTTTTTTTTTTTTTTTTTTTTTTTTTTTTTTGTTTTAACGTTTGTTGTTGTTTGTTTTTTTAATCTTTTTTGTACATTCTCAGTATACATATTATGATGGAAAACCAAGTGGTAAATATTGAAGATATCACATTAAGTTGACTCACTTTACTAGGAAATATAATATGTTTTTAAATATATCCATCATAAATCCGAGAAAGAAAACAATTACACTCGTTTCAAACCAACTTAAACTAAATGTTTAGTTTGTGTTTAAAACTTTGTAAAGTTCAATCCCGCTGGCTTTAGCAAGAAACTTGTACTATTCCAGTAACCACCTTTACAAGTTTGCAATCAAAATAAAATAAAAACTTTGCTGATTTTGTTTTTATTAACATAAACTTATCTTTTCCCTCCAACTGACGAAGCTCCTTGTATATTATTTATATTTAGCAACTCTCTTAAATGTTTTTAGATACCAACTTTTGTTTATAAACTTTATTCAATATTAATCTTACATTTTAAAAAACCTTCGATAAACAAATATTTATATAAAAAGTACAATATCAACTTTAGAAGATTTTTTATGTGTGGTTAAATTTGTATCTAATTCTACTTAAATTTGGGATACAAATTATTTCTTTGAAAATATGCTCCTCTTTAATCGTCTTAAGGCTACAATCCCCCCAGAGTTTTTTCTAAAGATGAACTTCCAACTCCATGTCTGATTCTTGAAACTAATGAATTAATCTTCTTCATGCTAATGCATTGATGGTTAAAGCCTACTTTTGACTAAATCAGAGGCTTGTAATTAAGGTTTGGGTGTTTTTGGGAACAATTTTCAGCAGTCGTAGTCTAACAATTTGTTTTGAGTTCAAGGTCCGCGCTACTTTACCCGTTTGGTGAAAAATAGTTTGGTACAATTAACGCTAACCCGTTACTGTATTTTATAAAATATTTATTACAAGAAGATGTAATCGTAACAGAGATCACTGCAGAACTCAGTAGCAATATATGGGGCAAATAACCAAACCGAGAGATAAAGCAAATACCCGAAGCACCTGGACAACCTTTTTACAAATATAGATCCCATCTCATGATATTCTATAAGGGTAATTCTAGATAGACGAATAAACATTGTAACAGCTTCTGTAGAATTTATGCTTGTTCATATTTCCTTCCTTTTATGAATAATAAGATTGCCATGAGGCACTG